AAAAAAAAAAGTTGGGTCAATTTACCAAACTGCAGACAGCAAAGCCAAAACAACAAGCGTGATCAAATCAAATGAAAAAGTGTTGTGGCCTCAACATGCAACATGCAACTTGCAGAAAATCAACTAGAAAATAAGAATAGGTTAGATAAAACAATTTATTTCATTAGTAACATTCTCACAATTATAACAGTTAAAGACATAGCCAATGTAACTTGAGACCATTCTAATCTAACATTATTGCTGCATGATGATTCCACACAATCAGGGCAGCAGACAAATCTTCCTACATTATGATTTCTCACTGTGACCTTGATAAAATGTCGAAAAAAATTTACAGCATTATTTCAATCGTTTCGTAATCAAAGCGATCTTAAATGTCAAGACGCGTTATCAATACAATCCAATATCTTGAGCAATCTCTCCTTTCATTCATTCATTCATTCTCTTTCAGAATATAACTACAAGTCTCTCTATATCATCTATCTTTATATCTATTGTTTCTATAACTTAAGCCGTAACACTCAGTGTAAGATTGACTGAAAAATAATAATACAAATCTTTACTTATAGCTCTACACACATTTATTGAAAAATAATAATTGGATATATTTTTATGCAAGGTTTGAATGTGTTTCTCCAATTGAATCATAACATAATTAATCCATTACATGTATATGCCTTATTCTTAAAACATGCTCTGTAATGCGACTTTTAGACTGAAATATCAGATGTAATAGTCTCGATAAAAGATTGTAAGAGCTCTGTTACAAAACAAGGAATAAAACTGAGTATTTAACTAAAACAATACCTGAATACAAAAAGCAGCTAGTTGACCTGGACGAAGCTATCTTGACAACCAGATATATGTTCTCAGTAAAAACCATTTCATTCATATCAACCCATATCTGAAAAACACAACAGAATTTTACTGCTCATCCTCAATGTTTCATAGGCATCATGACTTTGAAAAACTTTGCCAGGATTGTATACTACATACTTTCCAATCCAGCTCTTGAGGGATCCTTAAGGTGTACAACCTGTAGCAAACAGGGCCTGAGTTTATTGCCCAGTGAAAAGAATTAAACTATTTTTCCATGTTAGCCCATCTACCCTGCATCACTTATGAAGAGAAGCCAAAACAAGAGTAACTATCTTATCTTGATTGCTAAGAGGTAAATCTAATATTAGATTGTATACATAAACTGTACTCTGCTAAACTAAACTGTACAATTAATCATTGCAAAGGTTTTAGTTATGACCCCATTGCTGCAAACGCAAAAAGGTTCCAGGACAGACTATAGCACAACTGTTTAGAGCATCAGAATCTTTACATTTGTTTGATTAAGTCAAGTAGATGTTGATCAAATGTTATAATTTGAAGTTTTTCCAAGGACCTGCTGATCCATTTGTAATCCTTTTAAAAATTGCAGTTTATTCATTTCTTCCTTTTAAAGAGTAACTTACTTCTGTTTTATATGCACTGAGAGATCGTTCCAAATTTCTTGTCCTACAAACCAATCAATCCATCTCTGGAGGACAGGGCCGATGAGCTCCCTGCACTGCACTGTTATCTATATCACCCATAACTGCAATAAAAAAAAAACATCGATTAACATGGGCACTTTGAATTTTCTTATATGCAAATTTTGTGAGTTCTAGTACTTCTGAAGCCATTTTTACATATTCGATGTCGAATCTCAAACTCAAAAAAGTGACTGTGCGAAATGAAATTAATTTCAGGTCAGTCAATCAAAACCTAATCAATGCCTCTAAAGATTCCAATCTACATTAGGCTAGCGTTCTGTAAAATTCAGTTATTTAAAAAAAATTCTAGATATTTTAAGATTCAAACTTATCTTCTTCACCCTTTTAGACCATAAAAACAACATTATCTGAAACCACACTCCAACATCATAATCTAAACCAATACTATTATCTTAAACCAAACTCCAACACCATTATCCGACACCATCATCTAAAACCATAGTCCAATACCATTATCTGACACCATACACCAACACCATTTTCTGACACCATACACTGATATCCACTGTTATCTTCTTATCTCAATAAACCAAAAAGTAATCTAATAATAATCAAAATACCATATATATTAAAGGGTCAGAATGCAAGATTTCTAAACAATTTACAAATTAAATCATAAACCATCTGACATATTTCTCTACATTTTTCTGTTTTTTGGATTTTACACTGTTGAGTGCTCAGACTGTATCACATGTGGCATAGGTATTTTGTCCCATCCGAACATCCCCTGACACAATAAATACCCATATCTGATTTAGAAATCATAAAACATGTAGAAAAAAGGCTAAAAAAGAAAAAATAATACTTAACCTCAAGACCAAGTTCCAGAAAGAATTCCTAAATGCCAATCCCACATATCCACAATCCAACAGAGAATTTTTTATTGACAATAAAAGTACCAATTTCTGAAAAAAATCATTACACTCCCCCTTCCCCAAATTGAAATTGAAATAACCAAACTTCTAAATCTACCGGTTCATGATCCAAAAAAAACAAAACCAACACAACTTAACAAAAGTCATGGACAAAACAGCACACATCCGAACAAACTAAAGCAGAAAGCCAAACAAATATGACAGAAAGCCAAGCCAAAACAAAAAAAGCAGACACCCAAAAACAAAAACTATTACTCTTTCCACCATTATCTGAAAAAAAAAAACATATCAAAAAATTACCTTAAAAATATTAAAAAACCCCTGTAAATGATGTCAAGTCAGAGGCGTCAGTATGAAAAAGAGTCTAGAGACAATAAACTAAGGCTCTGTGTGCTAAAGGCTGTTCACATCCTTGACTGGTGAAAATTGAAATCCTTATATCCTGTAGAATTTCCCCCATTTAACACAATTGCAAGTATGACACCATTTCCTTTCTATCAGCTGGTAAAATGAAAATATTCAGATGACTATACCTGCGGTTTCTTTATCTGCATGCATGCTTCTTCTTATCTGATAACCCTCCATTCATCCATACCACCATAACTTGAAAAGAAAACTTTGACCTCAACTACCAACTTTGACCCCTGAACTCGAACACTAACTTTGACCCTTGAACTCAAATATCAACTTTGACCCTTGACCTCAACCACAATCTTTGACCTTTGACCTCAACAACTATCATTGACCTTTGACCCCAACCACAATCTTTGACATTAGACCTCATACACTCACTTTGAACTGCCAACTTTGACCAGAACTTCCAAAGCTGTACATAGCAAAATACCCAAAATCAGAAATACGAACAATAAAGCTGAAATCCAAAAGAAATGAAAGCCATAAAGCAAACATCCAAATAATTGCTGATGGTTTTTATATCATGGCAATTCTTGTTGAATGGTAGCGGAAAGGTAATCTTGGTATGATTGACTGGTTTCTAGTAAAAGGTGCAGAAACACCGAATGGAAGCAGAAATACGTGGCCTGTTTCTCAAAATATCTTTCAAGGGAAATCTGTCATAAGTGTGGAATTTTACACTGAGAAATATCATACTTATATCACAAATATTGATTGTTAGATTTTTTTGAGAAACATGGCCCAGAACTCGGTTGCAGAAAGGTTAGTCAGCCTACTGATAGATAGAAAGATTTTTTACAAGGACAGCTTAGGTTCACAAGATCCTGTCTAACAGCTGTTCCTTGACCAAATTTCTTGGCAATGATTTTACTCAGATTATCCATACCCATTTACAGCTGAGTCGAATAGAATACTGAGGAAAGATGACTTATTCTAGCAAAAGGAGAAAGTCAATTCTAAAGGCACTAGTAAAAACCAGTCCATGAGGAGGCAGAACTAATAATGCAGAAACACCAAATCAATGCAGAAACACCTAATCAATGCAGAAACACCTAATCAATGCAGAAACACCAAATGCAGAAACACCATCTTCTTGTGAGCTCTTCAGCTGAAATAAGAAAGGAATTATGTAAATAAGCCATAGCTCAAATATTCATCTACTTATTTTAACACAACTTGTTTTTTTTTTTAAAGAAATACTTCCTCTTAGAATTAACAGCAGATAAATGCATTGGTAATTATTACTTGAAGTGTCAACATCTGAACAAAAACCAGTATTTCTTGGCACTTTTTCGCAATTTTCAAAAGAGCTGGGAACCCACTTTCATGCACTTTGGGGAGTCGCAAAGAAGCACCAACTTGCATCTATTTTCAAGACCTAAACTTCCACCCAACGATGAATACATACATTTACAGGCCAAATTTGAGAATCTAAAGTTAATGTTCATCCTAAAAGGTAGTATTCCTTTGAAACTATGTCATTACTGATATGCATATGCGGGCACAGCCTTGAATGGTAGAAGAACTAAATGCAAGATTTTCATTTTGCAAAATGCCAGTCAATCATATAACCATAATTCAGTTGTAGAGGAACCAAGTCAGATTTTCACCAAACACAAGGCAATATTATGAAATTAGCACACTTCTTAGATAAACTAATTAAACACATAACGTTTCAACTTTTCAGCACAATTTACATGTACCATCATCAGATGAAATAATAATGGAATAAAACACAACAAAAGGTATAAATAGTAACCATTTAAGTCTTCCCTATTGTTTTAACTTATTTATTTCCTAAATTGTAACTCACTTTGGATAATAAGCTTATGTTCTCTTATCTAGACTTCTTATTATTAATATTATTACCCTTTACACTGTTAATCTCTTTAATATTCTTAGTTTTTGAGGTTTTTTATTCTGATGAAAACACATTGTTTGAAACGTTATCTGTTTGATTAGTTTATTAAAGGAATATGTTAAATCCATAATATTGCCTTTTTCTGTTATATGCACGCCTCATTTCTAATTGTAGTTCAAGTCTTATGTCCCATTTCATTTTAAAAAGTAAAAAGACAATGTTCACTAAATCCCTTGTAACATACCCATGGCTTTTCATCTGTAGACTTGGTTCTTCTTATTGAGTACTCTTTGGAGGTCCCTCTTTTCATCTGTTGATCTTTTCTTCAGCATTCTTCACTTGTTGTTCATAATTCTTTCTGTTCTTCATCTGTTCTGTAGGCGCCGCTTCATCTGTCCTTCTTCTGTTCCTCTTCATCTGTTCCCCTTCATCTGTGAATAGGAGGTCTGAAAAGTCATACAGGCCATGACCTCAGAACACTCCTATTGTGGCAGTGCTATTGCGGGTAGGTAAATTACCAGACGATTTACCCTTTCTAACCTGAAAAATATAAATACATAATTGAAAATAATTAGATGACTAGCATTTTAAGTATTTCTTTAAAAACTAAAACAATGTGTGAGAGGCCATCATTCTGTAGGGTCTTGATTGACTGTTTACTCATATAATACCATACCATCATTAACAAAAATATCATGATATCAAAATGGTTTAAAATTACAGATTAAATATTTCTAAAACAAACTTGCCTTGCGAGCTTCTGTGCCACACCATAAGCACTTGACTTCTGAAGCTCTATCTGTTTACACCTAAAATTAATAATATACAACTTAATTCTTTGATATGGCACAAATGAAATAATTCAACAAATACATAAATCCAAAAAGTTGATGGATTCCATGGAACAGTCTGTTACTCAGTAACAAGCGCGTTAAAGCGTTGGAAACTATACAGGAGGCATGTTTAGTTATGTCCAAACAATGGTGATCATGACATCAATTTCAATAGATCTAGTAGACAGCTAGTAGACACATATAAAAATTTGGTTTTTATTGTAAGGTTTTCCAAAAAATAATCTTATGTTGCTAAATGTAATATTTACAGTGTGTTTATAATGACTTATATAGCAACATCACATCCAAGATAATTATTAAAATATCCATACCTGGCTTCGTTCCAAGAGCCGCCTTTAGGACATTTGTGCTCCACCATAACCTAATTGACCTCCAAATGTAATGTCCTGTTGAAGCTAAAGACCAGCTCCTTTGTTCTTGGAACCCTAAAAGTAAAGATTCTTATTTTAAAAGTAGGTTTGGAATGTTATGTTCAAACAGTTATAAATACTTTAGACCAAAGACTAGAGGAATATATCCACTGCCTTATCTGGAAGTTTTAAGCAAAAAAAATCTTTCAGTTTATTCTATAACATTAAAACTATCTAAAAGTAACCGGGTAATGAAAATCTAGAAAACTACCTCTTTAATTTTGTATATCAAAATGTGAATAACATCATTTGGCCAATATCTCTGCTCATGGACAATAAATTTTCAAAGGTCACTCTTGAAATGATTAGTTTTAAGCTCTTGAGTCCGAGACATTTTACCGTGATATCTGTCATTAGCCAGGAAAGTCATGCCTCTTTTAACACCCCTCTGCCAATGGAATTATCAAATATGCACCACTTCAGAGAGAAAGATCCCATGGTAGTTTTTGCTGTGCATTTTCATTCCACAGCAGGGGGCTTGTTCTTGAAATGGATTTTAAGAGATCAATCAGATGACCATAATCATCGTAAGTTAAGTTTTGAAGATTAATGCTCCTTCAAGGGATACAGAAAATGAACAATTATTTTTCACAAAATTTCAGAAAAAAAAACAGAAATTGTGAATGAAATTTAAATATGTAGGTAGGTACTGACCGTGCTACGTTGATCATCTAACTGTAAGTGGTGTATGTCAAACCCAATAGTAAAGACCGCTATCGAGTTCCCGCCGACGGCTGAAAAAAACAAAAGACAAACAGTCAAAATACCATATAATTTTGTATCTGAGGACATATTCTAAACTAGAGTCCAAAAGAAACGATACCAACTTATTTTCAAAGTTGTTTTTTACTAAGTGAATTGTCTAATATGAAAACATGCCAATTCGTATTGCACATCCCAAACACAGCATAGTCGATAAAAATACCGGGAACACGTGATCACTTCCGGGAAAAAACGTAAATTTCGTGAAAGTGACATTTCCCTCTGTAGCATGTTCTGCACGTGTATAAAAACTGTATAAAACGGCTGATCAGACACGTTGATATCACAGCAACAAAAAGAACACAAGATATGCCACGTTTGACAGCCATCGAGAGAGAGAGAGAGCCGTTGGAATGGTCCGACAAGGAGCGACACACGTCGACGTTGCCAGAAGGTTGGGCTGCGCACGCATCACTATCACCAGGTTGATGCAGCGGTTACGTCAGACAGGTCAGACGTCAGACAGGCCCAGGAGTGGAAGACCACGAGTAATCACGCCCGTGAAAATCGTTACATCCGGGTATTACACCTGAGGAACCGCTCCGTAACAGCGACGTCCACGGCGGCTACAGCACTGGGACACAGGATCAGTCGACAGACCGTCTACAGGAGACTACGGCAGTATGGTATCCGGCCACGTCATCCCTACCGCGGACCGCTCATGACGCCTCGACAGCGGAACAACAGACTGATCTGGGCCAGGCGAATTCGACGTTGGCATGGCGGGACTAGGCACGTGTTATGTTCTCTGATGAGAGCAGATTCCTCATCTTCAAAAACGATGGACGGCAGCTTGTATACCGACAATTTGGTGAAGTTTGGCGCCTAACTGTATCCAACAGGTCCGGCCGTTTGGAGGTGGAGGGTTAATGGTTTGGGGTGGCATATGTGGTGACGTCAAAACGAGGCTTGTCGTAATTCGTGGAAACTTGAATGCACAGCGTTATATTGATGACATCCTACGGCCTGTTGTGGTGCCCTTTATTCAGCAACAGCCTCGTGGACTCCTTTTCCAACATGACAATGCAAGGCCACACACAGCAAGATTGACACAGAACTTCCTTGCCAACGTACAGGTTTTGCCATGGCCCGCATATTCACCGGACATGAATCCCATCGAGCACTTATGGGACCACCTCGATCGGCAAATCCGACGTCGCCGTGTGCCTCCAGTCAACGTCCAGGACTTGGAACGATGTCTCCTCGAGGAATGGCACCGCATCACTCCCAATGTCATCAGACGTTTGACGGCATCAGTCCGTAGGCGTATTCTGGCATGTATTGATGCTCACGGTGGACATACCCGCTACTGACTTGACTTTGTGACGTGTGGTGTGACATTTCCCGTTGTTTCTGTGATCAGTGCTCTAACGAAATGTTCTTTTTTCGACCCCACCCATCTTTAAAGGCTTGTCATATTGGTTGTACAGATTTTATTGAAATGAAATTTTTGTACAGATGTTGTGAAAGGATTTCTCAAAAGCATAACACCAATCCTAACCTTCTGCATTGTTTAGTTTTTCTTTTATGTCGTTGCAAACAGGTGGTATCGTTTCTTTTGGACACTAGTTTATTTATTTCTGGTTTACTGGTCATGGTTATTGAGCCATGGAATATGGAATCCACTTAATTTTTGCAAATTTATATATATTTCTGAAAATTCACACAGCTATTAATATCATGGTACTATAATTTCAAAACATCAAGATCTATGATAAACTTACAAAAAATGGGTGGAGGAATCACCCAATCTGTTCCTCTTCATCTGTTCTCTTCATCTGTTCCTCTTCATCTGTGAATAGGAGGTCTGAAGACTCATACAGGCCATGACCTCAGAACACTCCTATTGTGGCAGTGCTATTGCGGGAAGGTAAATTAGTAGACCATTTACCCTTTCTAACCTAAAATCAGACATAAAATTAAATTAATTTTTTCTTAAAAGTCAAGCACAAATAAATATTGTCAATCTTCTTAAATAAAAAATTTCATTGAGTGGAGATATTCATTCAATTTTGTTGACTGGTCAAACAGATTATTTAGTTTTTTCTTTTATATTTCTTCTTGTACTGATAAGTCAACGGTACCAAGAGACATTTCAGAGATCTAGGTGATATTTGAAATTGACACAGGTTTGAATTTTTAAAGCAGAAGCAGATGTGGCATCATAATGTTATAAAGCTTAAAGAAGATTTGAGCTCACAGCACCTTATTGCAGTTTACACAGTTCCCAAGTTGTTAACCCCTTCAAGCATAAATTTCTAAATGGTCAGGGATAAGAATAGCATTATGCATTAAAGCACACTTGCCTTGCGAACTTCTGTGCCACACCATAAGCACTTTAATTCCATGTAGTGAAGCTCTATCTGTTTACACCTAAAATTATAAATATTTCAAACATATCAAAACCAAGTTTCTAAACATAGGCTTGTGGCAAGTGTCGCAAGCGAATACGCCCACCAGCAGCTTGATAAAGAGCTAAATGTGAACTGTAAAACAAACTCTATATCGTAGCCTGTAGAGTGAACAAGATCCAAAAAAGTGAAAAAACGCGATATCCAAGTTTTTTGCGATATCTCTCAAGAAAATCTTCGGATCCTCAACAAATTCAATAGTGCGCATCTTCATAATTATATTGACACACTTTGAATCCATACAGAATTGTAGTCTGTAGAGTGAGCACGAGTCAAAAAAGTGAGAAAAAGAAACATAGGCCCACTGGCAGCTGTCAGAAATGATAAAACAGTCTTCAGTGACTAAAGTACCAATTTTCTGATATTGAAGAAATTTTATTAGTTTGAATAGTTACGTGTGGGCGTATAAAAATGTCAATTTTTTTGAATTAAGGACAATTCAAAAACAGTTCATACAACAGCAGATTTACCAACAATAAAAGGGATTGTGTCAAAATATCTTTTTATGTGTATTGGGGAACAACAAAAAGTCTGATTGGAAATTGGAATTGTGCAAATTGATGCTATCAGTGTCCCCGATACCTATGAAAAATTTTTACAATCCCTATAAAACATTCCAAGTTTTAAATAATTCAATTCAAAATTTGTTACCTTTGGAGACATATCAAAGCCACTTTCTGGCTTGAAAACTAAAATGGTGCAAATATACACACATTATAAAATGCTGGAAAACCTTTTCACATTCCATTCTTACTTTGAAAAATGCAGTATAAACAATTTGATTCGTATTTCTATATCATACCATATGAAATATTTCAAATATCCTTACCAAGCTTTGTTCCAAGAGTCGCCTTTGGGACATTTGTGCTCCACCATAACCCAATTGACCTCCCAGTTTAAATGGCCTGTTGTAGCTAAAGACCAGCTACTTTGTTCTTGGAACCCTGGAATTGAAACAGGAAATTTTATTTGCCATTTTCGGGGGTTGATTTGGGTCTTGAATATATGTAAATAGTCTTCAGAAGTGTTAGATATGTATGGTAATTCTTTCCAAATACCTCAAACTGGGCATTTCTTTTTCTATATATTTCTTTTCGATAAATGACATCTTTCATCTTTCTAACACAGATTGTTCTGGACATACATGGATTTCAATAGTCATTAGCCTGCTCTTTTTCGATTTCGAACTGTCAAAGGATTTTTAACATGCACAGTCTGTAGCACACAGGTTTACTGTCACATCCAAACGACTAAAAGCTTTTTCCATGTCCGCCCCTGCCACCTGCATCATTAACAAAGGGAAATCAAGTTTTACAGTATAAAGCTCAATTAACAGGTACTGTAACTAATCAAAGAAAGCTTTCCAGGCAGGGTAATATATGCCAACTGGCAGCTTTATTTTCAAATTAAAACATTTGGAAAAATAGTAACAATCACTGTGTCAAATATTCAACCATTCGTCATACATTTTTTCTGAACTTTTTTGTCTTTCAAATATTGATAATTGGGTATAAATCTGTTCTCTTAAGTAATTACAAGCTAGAATTGAACACTTCGAATACAAGGGCAATAACTCATATTTTTTATCTTCAATAGTGTCCATCCATGAAAGATAATAAACACACCAATTTTGTCAAAATCCATCAAGAATCGTGCCTTCTGAAGTTTTCAGACTGACTGACATTTGTGACGCCAAAGTGGAATTTCTAAAACTTTGAATACTGACCGTGCTACGTTGATCATCTAACTGTGTGTGGTGTATGTCAAACCCAATAGTAAAGACAGCTATTGAGTTCCCGCAGACCTTACGGCTGAAAATAAACATTTTAATTCAATTAAAGCAAGTGTCAATAGTAAGCCTGGATATATCAAGTTTTTATGAATCCGACACCATTGAACCTTGATACAGAACCCAGTTGCCATAAGTCTAGATTTATCAAGTGCTTGAGAGTTTGATAATGATATCATTGAACCTTTGAAGCAGTAGCCAGTGGCAATCAATCTGGATTTATCAAGTGATTAAGAGTCTTACATCATTGAACCTTTGATGCAGTAGCCAGTGGCAATCAATCTGGATTTATCAAGTGATTAAGAGTCCGACATCATTGAACCTTTGATACAATAGCCTGTTGCCAGAAGTCGTAGATTTAACAATTGTGTACAAGTCCGACATCATTGGACCTTTCGTACAGTAGACTGTTACTCTTGTCACCATGATATCATTGAGCCTTTGATACAGTAACCTGCTTGTCACTATGTTTCATTAATTCATTTCATTCATATGTTCAATAATCTAATCTTAATCTTTCCTCTTTATTCATTAATTATCGAAAACCAGCTGGTAAAAAGGATCCTATTTTCCATAGTCGTTATTCTTGTCAAAGATAGCTTGGCAAAAGAGAAACATACACCCTCTTGCAGCTGTCAGAAATGTCTTTTCTCATAGTAAAACAGGACATTCTGCTATTTTTGTAGGTTGAATGTTTTTTTTTTTGCTCAAATTTGTGAAAAGTATTAACCAAATCTATAGAGAAAATTTTAACTCAAAACTTTACTTAAAGATAGCTTGCCAGGCAAGGTAAAATTTGCGTTTTTCCTAAGTCAAGGGCAATAACTCAAAAAACATTCATCTAAAGATCGTCAAATTCAAACTTGACCAAGATCTCATCAATAGAAATTATCACACCAAATTTCATTCAAATCAGTTGAAAACTGTAGTCTCTATTGTGTTCACAAACAAATTTTGACGTGTTTTTCCTAAGTCAAGGGCAATAACTCAAAAAAACTTTCATCGAAACATCGTCAAATTCGAACTTGATCAAGATCTCATCAATATAAATGATCACACCAAATTTCATTAAAATCGGATCAAAACTGTAGTCTCCTTTGTGCTCAATAACAAATTTTGACACGTTTTGACTAAGTCAAGGGCACATCAGTTGTACATGTTATTATAATGTTAGTTATCACAGGTTTCTAAGGGCAATAACTCAAAAACCTTCAAACGACAAGAAAAAAAATCAAATTCAAACTGGTCCAAGATCTCAACAATATAAATGATCACACCAAGTTTCATTTAAATCAGATAAAGATAGCTTGCCAGGCAAGTTGGCAGCTTTCAGAAATGATAAAACAGTCTTTAGTGACTAAAGTATGAATTATTTATACTGAGAAATACCACAAAATTTTTTAAAATCAATATCAATAATCCAAACAAATCAAATTTTCGCATCAAAATACATGATCACACCATGTTTCATTAAAATCAATTGAAAACTGTAGTCTCTTATGTGTTCACAAACAAATTTTGATGTGTGTTTCCTAAGTCAAGGGCAATAACTCAAAGACAGTTCATTGAAATATCAAATTCGAACTTGTCCAAGATCTCATCAATACAAATGATGAAACCAAATTTCATTAAAACTGTAGTCTTTCTTGTGTTCACAAACAAATTTTGATGCCTGTTTCCTAAGTCAAGGGCAATAACTCAAAAACCGTTCATTAAAAGATCGTCAAATTCGAACTTGACCAAGATCTCATCAATATAAATGATCACATCAAATTTCATTAAAATCAGTTGAAAACTGTAATCTCTATTGTGTTCACAAGAAATGTTGACGGACCGATGGACAGCAATATATGTCCACATTTCCATGTGGGCGTATAAAAACTAAAGTCTTTATCCTGCTCACAAGAAATGTTGACAAACCAATGGAAGAAATAATAAAACTTGACATCAAATACCATCAAATAAGAATAGTAACTCGTATTAAATATTTTCTGATTTTTACTGTTTTTTAATATTGTTCATCCTAGGGTAAGGATCAACGATTTCACCAAGTTTCGTCTGAATCCGTCCGGAATTGTGCCTTCTTGAGTGTTCACAAGCAAAAAAATTGAAAGTTATTTCAAAAACAAGTGCATAAACTCATATAACATTTTTTTCAATTTTGTGTCATCCTCTGGTGATAATAAACAATTTCATTAAGTTACAATTTTTGTAATCTGTTGAGAATTGTGCCTTATAAAGTGTTTGCAAGCAAAAAATTGAACGCTTTTCAATTTGATCCTCTATTTTTCAAGTCCTTTGACTTTCGAGTTTATCATTTGGATTAAAATATACAATTTAATCAAATTTCGTCAAAATCTGTCAAGAATTGTGCCTTGTAGAATGTTTACGAACAA